CACATGACACATGAATGGCAAGCGCTGGTGTAACATGACTGACTGCATATTCTGCTATAAGCCAACTACATAAGTATTAAAATACAGTACCTGCTTTATAGTAATTGTTCAAAGTGTCCTCCGCCAGCTGCAATGCAGTTTTCGGCACGCATCATGAGGGATTGGGTAGCAGAAGCAATGTTGCCTGAATGGTGACGTATGTGCTCTGCCGCTGCAAAAATACGATTCCGCAGTGCTTCTCGGGAATCGACCTTAGTTTCGTAGACTAAGGTCTTCATGTGGCCCCAGAGGTAATAATCTAGAGGCGTAAGATCTGGCGACCTCGGTGGCCATGCAATGGGACCACCACGACCTATCCAGCGGTTAGGGAAGGATTCATCTAAGTAGTGTCTCACGTGCTGAGTATAATGTGGAGGAGCCCCATCATGTTGGAAGTACATTTTCCTCCTTATCGTTAACGGGATGTCTTCCAACAAACATGGTAACTCATTCCTTAGGAAGGCTCCATACGTGTTTCCAGTTAAATTGTTGTGAAACACAAAAGGTCCGATCAACCTGTTCCCAAGCACACCACACCATACATTCACAGAAAATCTCTTTTGGAATTTCGTTTCCATTATCTCATGTGGATTATTATGGGACCACGTATGAATATTTCGTAAATTATTTACACCGTCCCGGGTAAACGACGCCTCATCACTGAATAAAATGACGCTTAACAGTTCGGGATGAGCTTTTATCCAGTGGCAGAAATCCATACGCTGAGCATGGTCGCCTGGTTCCAGATGTTGTACCCTTTGATCATGGTAAGGATACAGGTCTTCGTCATGTAAAGTTCGCCACACCTGCATACGTGATACGCCGATGCGAGAGGCCATTCTACGAGTGGAGAGACGCGGACTTCTATCAATCATGCGAAGAATGTTCTCTCGTGTGTTTCTCATTTGTACATCCTCCCTTTCCGACTGCACAGAAACACTCGGAAGAGAACCAGTCTCACGCAATGTCTGGTGAATTCGCGTAAATACACTTCGAGATGGAATCCTTCGATCGGGAAAACGCCTTTGGTACTCTTCAACAGCAGCACGTGCATTGCCACCGCAAAATCCATACACAAAATGCATATCACAATACTCGACGTGTGAAAACACAAAAGGCATTTCAGCAACTCATCACACAACTAATTTACCACCCATTCACGACCCCAACGCAACGTAATCTGTAGGCAGCGCATGAGCTTACGCTAGTGTGACTCGCGGCACTCAAGGACAAACAGATAAGGGTCTCAGCTGACAGGTACGTATAGTGCGTGGACCTGCAAGAAGACCACACTTTTCTCGGGCCATTATCTCCGTAACCGTTCAACTTTGGACATAGGTGTTTTGGGTTATATCGGCATACTTTAACATAAGGAACACCCTCCTGAAGTTTGGCACATTCCTCCTGGGACACCCTGTATATATAAGTTATGTACTCCGCACTGTAATTGACTTTTAGGATACGAAAAGGCTATCCGAAAGACCGCATCTGTGGTCTAGTGGCCATAGTTACTGGCTACAGATCCAGAGATCCCGTTTTCGATTCCCGGCGCCACCAGATTTTCTGAGAAGTAGTGCATCTGGAACGGGGTTCACTCAGCTTCGTGAGGATAATCGAGGAGCTATTTGAAGGAAATAGCGGTTTCAGTCTAGAAAATAGAGATTAACGGCTATGGGGATTCGTTGCGCTGACCACGCGACACTTACTATCCGCTAAAGTTGGCACTAACTTCGCCGAAAAGAGGCTGTCCCTTTGGTCGGTATAGTTCGCTTGCGGACTACAGGCCAAGGAGTTTTTTGTATAGGTTATCCGAAATGAATTTGGTCTTGAGATGCTTAAATTGTTTACGCCAACAAGAGAGTATTGCAGTGGCAAAGGGTGACACACTCGTGGGGTAAGCAATTGTAAATTTGCTTAATGCTTGTGACGAGCCTAAGCAGGCACACGTGATATGATTAATGAAAAGAAGGCTGGCTAAATCTGAATGGTGAGCCGATCCGAAATATTTTGAGCTTCTGTTTCTGGACTTAATTACTCGTATAAGCATATGCCTGTATTTTTTTTTTCCAGAAAACTATGTTGTTATGAAAAATACCGTACTTTACCTTCTGTTATGTGACTCCGTGAAGTCTAATGCAAGTTTACGGCTTAACCTTCCAGAAAATAGTTTTTGCATAGTCACTGCTATGAGAATATCACATTTGACGTGAATATATTAATATAAAATTGCTGCATTTTATTAGTAGTATACATGCAAACCTGCGGGTATTACCACCTTCAACGTCCTCTCGCAGCGAAGCGCGTATGTCTTGTTCTACGGCTGTGCGTAGATCTCTTGTACATGAGGGCCAGTGTTTGAGAAACTCGTCCTTGATAAACTAAGCAGTACTTTTGTAAAAATAGCAAGACGGGGAAGGCGTAATGAACAGCCTTCAAAAGAAATACATTGACCGGATAAAAAGTAGTGGCAATACCTCAGTAGTTCTGAAATGACTTTATTAGCTGAGGTAAACACACTTACATTCCTTCAATATAATCGCCCCCCCCCTCCACGTGTACCACTTTCTGCCAAATTTGTGGAAGGCGTTGTACACCATCAGCGCGTCCACATCTGTTGATGTCCAGCAGTGACCGCCCTACAGCAAGAATAATCTCCTCTCTTGTGTTGTAACGTGTCCATCGCAGTGGTTCTTTCATTTTGGCAGAGAGATCATAATCGCACGGACACGTATCGGGTGAGTATGGCGGATATTGCAGTATCTCCCATCGCCAGCGGAGAAGAAGATCTTTGACAGCGTCAGCAGTATGAGTCCTTGCATTGTCATGAAGGAGGATGGGGTTCGTTGCCAACAAGTCTCGTCGCTTTCTCCTGAGTGCTGGACGAACATGATTACGCAGGAAACTGCAGTAGTAGGCAGCGTTTACTGTTTGTCGTTGAGGTAGAGTGTGGTGCAGTATCACTTCATCAATGTCATATGTCACAATGAACATCGCCTTCACATTACTCTGTGTAGGGCGCACTTTCTTTGGACGAGGAGAGCCAGGATGCTTCCAGTCATTTTATTGTCGCTTCAAGTGCAGTTCGTATGAGCGAGCCCAAGTTTCGTCCAGAGTGACGATCCTTCCAAGGAAGTCGTCACCTTCCCTCTGGTACCGGTCCAACAAGTCCTGTGCAATTCCATAACGTTGCCATTGTTGCACCTCGGACATTATATGGAGTATACTACAACCTCGTGCAACTTCAATTTTTATCCAGGAGCGTTGTTCTTGTTTCATAAACATGTTGTTAGGGTGCTTGAACTGGGCTCCTGCACTTCAAGACGATGCACAATGCAACTCAATGAAACACAACCAGAGCCACTCACTGCACTACTTCAACAGAATTTCTGCTATCAGAGCTACAGACGGCGCTAGTGCCAACTGACGCACATCTTTCATGTTACAGCAGTGTTGCCACTACTTTTTATAAAACCCTTGTATTTTGCCGTTAGTCTGAATGTTAACATGTTGGGATAACAAGAACTCTTACATACGTGTGGAATAACATACAGGAAAATGTGTGACAAAAATCAAGGTTAGGAAATAAAAGTGGAAATTATAATTATAACATCGAACAAGTTTTGAGGGAGAGTACTATCTTCTGGAATGCAATGCAGTGTAGTCTGCTGTCTACACGGCGCTATATCCCAGAAAACAGAACTCTTCGTAACCACCGCTGAGAGAATGTCAAATCCTAGGATCTTTTTAAAGAGTTCAAATTGATAAATTTTCTTTTATGATTTATTGCATTCCCAACGTACATATTAATAATTACAAAACAGATTTTTATGTTACTTGAAGCATACATAATGCAGATTTCAGTAATAACTATTTCCTCTCTCTTCAATTTCTTGTAATATAAGATTGTATTACTTTTACAAATGACAAATTAAATGTAGTAGGCGTATGTCAATTCAGTTCTGAGATCCCTCATATAAAATGTGGCTTTTAATATTATTTCTTAGGATTGTTTGAAATGTTCTTAATCAAGTACACGTACGAATGTGTGTAATGCAAATATACACTGTCCTGGTATAACAAAACTTTAAAATGGGTAAAGGTAAAGATAAAGGTATCCCTGTAACAGGCCGTGCAGACCCATAAGGTTCTGAGACGTCGAGGCTCTCACATTTTCTAGCCAGTCGGCTCATAGATGGGATTGATGAAACAGAGAGTTTGAAAGTCTTAACTACTCTACTCGTCCAAGCTGGGTCTAATTTGTTTAGAACAAAACACCCTATACTTATATTTAACAAGTTTTAAGAAATGCTAGACGCAAGCCGAATCGGGAGGTATCCGAACTGATGCGAGCCACAAACTGCCCTAGTTTGGAATTGAACATGTTTTTCTCACTTTGGGGTTTATGGCTTCTTTTCAAGTGCTACAAGGTTGTCGTCTTGGAGGTCATCTTGCACCACAGAGGAGAGGGAAAAATAACCTTTGGTTTCACGCTACCCCTTTGTCCTTCAAGACGAGCCTTTAAAGAGATTCCTTGGAGAAACGATAGAAAAGGACTTTAAACTAGCCGGGTGTTCAGTACACGGAATTGCTTTGAACCCTCTTGTCCAAGTGGCTCAGATCTGAAGGAACACCTAACCTTTCCAAATTAAGTTGGTCACTGATAGTGGAAACTTTTACGTAAATTTTGGTCTTTATTCTAAACCAATAAATTCAATTCCAGCCACAATTAGCCTGACGTTTCGTAATAATCGCATCGATTTGGAGTATGAATAGTTAATAGAGCAGTCCTCCTTTATTATCCAGATAAATGCACAATAACGGCAAACTGGCCGCGCCATAACTCAAGCGATTAGTCGCTGGCTTCCCACCGCGGCCGCCTGGGTTCGATCCCGGGTCTGGTCAAGTGGGATTTGTGGTGGACAAAGTGGCGCTGGGGCAGGTTTCTCCGAGTACTTCGGTTTCCCCTGCCAATCCTCATTCCACCAATTGCTCCACAATCACCCTCACCTGTCATCTGGGACTGGTACAATAGGCGAAAAGTTGCCGCAGTGCAAGGGGACTAGTCCCAGCCACTAGCAATAAAAAAGCGGCCAACTATGAATCTCTAACTGTGATTTATTCGTAAGTAATTAACCGTCTGCACTTCAAATTCCCAACTCGATTCCTTCGTTTACGCTGCCAAATCACGTTTACACGCCCTGAGATCCCATGTTTACCAACTGACTAGACGACGATCTCGAAATCTAACCCTGAAGGTTAACTAAGTTAAGGAGCAAATGCTTACGCTACTTTATGAAAAACTGAACTATGGAGAAATGTTGGTAGTTTTTATTGAGCCAAAAGGAGAATTAATGTGACAAATATGAGCCATCTTGAGACTGTGGAGACTGGTGAAGCGCTAGGCGTAGTATCAGGTTTGGCTGTGGTTCTGGTCTTCGAAGTAGTACGAGACGTTGCTCCTGAACTCGTTGTTGAAGTTGCTGTACCCTTTGCCGTTGTTGTACTAGGTGCAGTAGGCGATTTACTGGTTTTAGTGATTGTTGTGGACCGAATGGTGGTTGTTTTTGTAGTCTTGATGGTTTTACCTGAAGGGTTGGGTATATATTGTGGAGTGATGATTAGGTTTTGAATGACTGTATTTGCAGCAGTAGATAGGGTTAGAGGGACGATTCTTTTTGAGGAGGCAGTTGTACCTGTAGTAACAGTTGTACTTGATTTAGTAGGTGTGCTTAAAGTGATAGTTGTACTTGAAGGGGCAGTTGTACCTGTAGCAACAGTTGTACTTGATTTAGTAGGTGTGCTTGAAGTGATAGTTGTACTTGAAGGGGCAGTTGTACCTGCAGTAACAGTTGTACTTGATTTAGTAGGTGTGCTTGAAGTGATAGTTGTACTTGAAGGGGCAGTTGTACCTGCAGTAACAGTTGTACTTGATTTAGTAGGTGTGCTTGAAGTGATAGTTGTACTTGAAGGGGCAGTTGTACCTGCAGTAACAGTTGTACTTGATTTAGTAGGTGTGCTTGAAGTGATAGTTGTACTTGAAGGGGCAGTTGTACCTGCAGTAACAGTTGTACTTGATTTAGTAGGTGTGCTTGAAGTGATAGTTGTACTTGAAGGGGCAGTTGTACCTGCAGTAACAGTTGTACTTGATTTAGTAGGTGTGCTTGAAGTGATAGTTGTACTTGAAGGGGCAGTTGTACCTGCAGTAACAGTTGTACTTGATTTAGTAGGTGTGCTTGAAGTGATAGTTGTACTTGAAGGGGCAGTTGTACCTGCAGTAACAGTTGTACTTGATTTAGTAGGTGTGCTTGAAGTGATAGTTGTACTTGAAGGGGCAGTTGTACCTGCAGTAACAGTTGTACTTGATTTAGTAGGTGTGCTTGAAGTGATAGTTGTACTTGAAGGGGCAGTTGTACCTGCAGTAACAGTTGTACTTGATTTAGTAGGTGTGCTTGAAGTGATAGTTGTACTTGAAGGGGCAGTTGTACCTGTAGTAACAGTTGTACTTGATTTAGTAGGTGTGCTTGAAGGGGCAGTTGTACCTGTAGTAACAGTTGTAATTCCAGTGGTAGTGAGAGGAGATAACGTACTTGTAGCCACTGTTGTAACAGGAGCAGCAGTCGATGTGTTAGCTTCTGCTTCATGATCTTCAAAGGAAAGAAAAAAATAATTCATTATTTTCAAAAACTTCATCTATAATGAATTCAGACGCCGCTAAAACAGAAAGAACCTCTTCTAATGAAGAAAAGTTAGATAATACAGACATGAAGCTGCAAGACTACTGTCGTGTACTTACATATCGCTGGTTCACTTACAATGTATTTCTTCATTGTTTACATACATTTTTGAGTTTTTGTCGTCAGTTCCCGAATATTGCATTCTTTTTCAAATGAATTTCAAATTACATATGTACAAGGTAAAATTGACCCTATACTTAAATAGGCACTGCGCCATGAAGGTGTATGGGGGAGTAGATGTATAAATCTACATATTCCTGACTTCGGCACTTGCTGGAGGTGAGATGGACAGAAGTAAAATAGATTGATCGTAACATATATATATATATATATATATTAATGCTGTCGCTTGATTTTGTTCGCACATTAGATTTATTCAAGGGAACAATTTTCGTCAAGAGTAGAACTACGTTCATTTTATGACATCGGTAACTTATAAAGTAATTGTTTTTAACATAAATTAAACCTGTGGGAAAGAGGAAGGATTTCGCTTGAAATGTCAATGTTAGGATAGATTTCTTTCATTGATGCAGACACACATGCACTCGGACTAAAAGCTAGTATTTGCAGCTCATAACTCTCGATTCCTTGTGAAACATTTCGTGTTCTGCCTTAAATCACTCGTGCAAACGAACTGAATTTTTTCATTTTGTTTCGCTCCTTTTTCGAGTATAGCTTGACGTATTCACATTAATACTGAGTCAGAGAACTACTCGCTGTGTTACAGGCTCAGAGGATGATGGCGCTTCGAAATATTCTCAGTCAAAAATTGGATCACAGCTGAAATATGGACCGATTAAAAATCTATTTCATAAAGAGAAGCCACGTGTTTTCTTGCGTATATCTGATGATATGTCTGCCGGTGATGTTCATTCGAACAGTGATTCCTGTATAGGACCACTACTACATATGTATATGTCTATATATTGTAACGTGTTTCTGGTTACTGAAGACGCCGTAGAGATCGTTAATTGGTTTATTCAACAATCTACAAGAAACGGCTACAATTAATTATAACACAGTTGCGGGGTTTCACACTTTATAACCCTAATCGCATTAATCTGTTCACACTGTTGCGGGGTTTCACGATTTATAACCCTATGCGCAAATCAGCTCACTCTGTCTTCAGTGGTCTACACGTTTACAGTAGGGGAGCTATGTATCACTGTATCACACACTCCCAATTACACAATCACACACACGTCCGGTTCTTCTTTCCGCGACGGCTGCTATACTCCAACTGTAGTCTGCTCACTGGAGAACTGTTGATAACACACTCGGCGACTGTTACAGTACAACTCGGAACTGTCTTCGGGGATGGCCACGTTACAACTAACTCGGAGGTAGCTCCAGGACTCACTGACTGACTGACTGTGAATAGCCTTCGCTGTTCCTTATGTAGCCTTGATCGGACAATTGTCGTCTGGTGCCGTGTTGCTAGCCACGCTGTCCGGAGTTGTTGACTGCTGCCTAGCAACCGCGATATCCCTCGGTGACGTCACCGCTGTTGATTCGCTTTGCATAGCTTCAAGGTTGCGGGGACTCGGCTAACGTCGGCTCCGCTCGTGACGTCACCGCGCGTTGCGCGTTGCATAGCTACCAGGATGCGGGGTGATTACTCGCCTATTACGTGAGCGCTACGTTACCGCTACGTGCAGCTGGGGAGGTAGGGGTTAACATGTCACAATATGTAACAAAATGTTCCCAGAATTGTTCAAGATGTGAACTTCAGTTTAATGTCTGATACGACTGGAAAAGATACAAAATTGTTTACAAAATTAGCATCTCTTGCATATACAGTATATACACACGTGTATGTATATAATCTGTGATTTTAATGTAAAAATATGCCTATCAAAAACAGTAAATTCATTTATATTTATTTAGGCGTTATTAATGCATTTCTTAGAGGAATAATTTCATCATCGTTCTGGGCAATCCCATACATGCTGCTGTGTGAGAAACGACTGCTAGGTAAAAGCAAATAGGATGCCAAGAACTGCAGACACTGTATATGTTGATTCTGTTGAAAAGACAGAGGTGAACATAAATATGAGTCCCATGTAACCGTGAGAGATGACAAAAGGGAATTCAGAAACAAAACGGAGTTCGGTAACTGTGTATCACGGCATAGAGACTTCTGCAACTGCGACAATATTGTGACATGTGCGAATGAAATGGTGACATGCCTGGAGGCTTCTCGAGAGGAGCAGACCCAAGGAGACATCATCGTAAATTTGGGACCAAAATTCTGAATGTTGGAATCACGGAAATTCTGCAGAGGGGTTCAGTGATAGGGAACGGCTGATTAAAACACGTATAGACTGCAATGAATACACAGTGTGACAATTAAGTTCCCGAAATGACGCTGTGATAGTAATACCACTAATGCCATCTATCGGGGATGGACGGGGCTAGTTAGAGAGAACGTTTGTCTGTATGATGTGAATGTTTCAACTTGTTTGGTTTATGCATATGAGGATTACAGTTATTGTGATCAAGTTAGTTTTTTCGTCGCGTTTCAAAAGAGACCAAAGAGCAGCGATTAGGTTTGTGTAAAATTAAAGAAAACAGTTACTGAAATGTTTGAAATGTTGAGAAGTGCCTACGGCGAAGAATGTTTATCGAGAACAAGTGTATTTGAATGGCATAAAATGTTCAAATAGGGCTCAGGAAGTGGGATTGCAAAAATCGCGAGTGAAAACATTGTTGACTGTATTTTTGATATTGAAGGTATCATTCTTCATGAATGTGTGCCGGAAAAATAGACTTTAAACGGTAAATTTTATAAAGAGGTGACTGAGAGATTGATCGCTCTAGTTCATTGCGTTAGGCCTGAGTTTCAGGAAAGTGGGTCCTATTATCTTCTGCACGACAATGCTCCGGCGCATTCTTCGGGCGTTATTCCTAAATTAAAAATTGCGATGAAAGGGACGAGATTCGAGGCTGTTCCATCGATCCAGGAGACTGTTACCAGAGAAAGAAAGAAATGAATCTGCCTAGATCGAAGAGCCCACTATGGTGTAGCACTATGTCGTAACACGGTACTGGCCTATCCGTATCGCTGGCTATGTGAAATGCACACTACTCTGTATAAGACACCACAGAAACTAAAATACACGTACAGTAATGTTACCTGGAAGTTATTTAAGAAGCCCCTTCTGGGGCTGTTTCTGAACATGAAGTAGGCCAATTATAACAGTTTATGGGAAGGAAATGTCCAGGATTGTCATTGTAGACTGAGGAATTCTGCGGGAAAATAAACTGTTACTACAGCCTACCTCCAAAACAGGGTCACTTTATCCAGCAGATAATATGGCTGCTCAAGGCCTCCTGATTTTACGGGTCTCAAACGGTTGAGCTTCGTTACTATATACTTAACTTTCTCCAAGTACTTCCTAATATCTCAAGAATATTTTGCGATCTTTTTCGTCTAAGTCGTAGGAAGGTTCAAATACTCACGCAGTGTCAAAAGCATAAGCAGTAAATGAGCGAAGGAGTGACTGCATGGCAAAGTTGTAACATTACGTTCGGCGTTTCATACATCCAGTTTCTAATGTAAAAACATTAAGTATTACAATTTGAAAAATATTTTAAACAAGATAATTCTTAGACTCAACGTTTCATTCTTTTTCTATTTTTTTCTAGCTTTTGTTAATATTGTGCCCTACAGACCCGTTGCTAGGTAATGGCCCGTACACCCGCAAAAGAGGACAGCATCACATTCGCAATGTCGTCGCGCAACAATAGTAGATTGGTTGCAAGCGGCGTTCTCTGAGGGTCCGCTCCGAGGCTGTATGACTCGACCGACCGAGTTCAGTTGAGTTGAGTACAATGAACCAAAGAGTTGGTTTGTGCGTTACTCAGAGAAGTGCAGTTCAGTCATTGTGAGCCCGTTGCTTTTAGAAGCTGATAGCTGAGGAACGGGGATATTTGGGGAACCCAGTAAGGGGAACGTCTGCTGTTGAAGCCGCTACCAATAAACGGCTAATGGAGACTAACGGAGTGAGAACACTAGTCTGTGTGCGATCGTGATTTGTGAAATGTAGTAACGAGTTGTGTTAGTGGTCAATAAATCTAATTACCAATCCAAACCCCTTCTTATAGTCACTCTATCATGTGACAGTATAAATTAATTTTGTGTGAATGTCATCTTGCGAGGTCTTATTCTTTCTTTAAAAATAAATGTTGGTGCGGGAGATTATACTTGATCCAGATTGCACCGTTATTTTGAATCGGCCCTGCTCTTTAACCTAAAGAGGAACGCATCTCCGAGCCCATCAGGTATCGAATTTCTTCTTAAACGTAGGGTCTGAGGTTCTCAAAGCGGTGGTTATGAAGAGTTCTGTCTTCTGGGGTTAAAACACCGTATAGTCTGCTTGCCACCTGCTTTCACACTAGTTCCTTGCTTGCCTTATTCTTCGAACCGGAAGACTGGGGAGTCATGTTCCTCCGAAACTTCGGCTTTCATCGGACTACATGGCATTGTATCCCAGAAGATACAACTCTTTTTTCCTTAAACGGTTAAGTAGTTTCCGGGACATAACGTACGGACAGAACAAGGTGCTGAGGAGAATATTTGGACCGTAGAGAGATTAGGTGACGGAAGGTTGGAGGAAACTGCATAATGAACATCTTCATAACTTGAAGAAAGTTGTCTTCTGGGTTTAGGCACCGTGTATTCTTCGTTTTGGCCGACGTTTCGGAGGAACGTAGCGCCTCCATCTTCAGAGCAGTTGAATAGCTGCGGAGAGCAGTAGCTGCAGCTATTCAACTGCTCTGAAGATGGAGGCGCTACGTTCCTCCGAAACGTCGGCCAAAACGAAGAATACACGGTGCCTAAACCCAGAAGACAACTTTCTTCATTGTCATCGCCGTGAAAACCTCAAAACTTACATCTTCATAACTTGTACGCTTCTCCAAGAATAATTAGAATGATCAAGTCAAGGAGGATGATATGGGCAGGGCATGTACCATTAATAGGTAATGAACCTCCGGGTTCCATAAAATGCTGGAAAGTTCTTGAGTAGCTGCAGAATTGGCAGTTTCTCAAGAAAGGCCCAGCTCCATGAGCGAGTAACATAAGGACAGACAATGATGGGGTTTCCTAAGCCTGTGTTTATTTCGCATACTTTTTGCAGAGGACACAGCACATACTACAACAAAGGAAACATGCAATAAAGTGGATTCTTTGGGTATAATTTATTTCCTCAGAAATGTTCCTGACCTCTTTCCAAACTGACCAGTGTTGACAAAAGAACTTCGGCTAGAGACTTAAGCATTATTAGGCTCTCATTTTACCGATTCATGGTTTCGTTTCACGACACTTTTTAACTAACTGAGATACAAACCTAGTTTTGAATTCCTGGATGATTGCGAATGATGATTTGGAAAATATGAGAAGGGGCTGCCATGCCCGATTTCAAGGTAAAAACACGTGATGTGGCCCACGGAACTGGTTACAACTACGAGATATCTCATTGAGGATACGTGCTGTTTCCGGGCTGAGGTTTGAACCAGGTACCTCAGCAACAGAAATCAGCCACTCTACTGGGGAGCTAGGATTATCTCTTATCGGGATATTAGTAATATCGTCTGGCTTCATGTTGGTTTAGGACTTAAAGATAAACCTGGCGTCAAATGATCGAATTAACAATTCTGCGAATAGGAGTGTCATCAGAAATCTCGCCTCGTCCCCATCTGCCAGAGGGGAGAGGGAACTGTAAACTGCAGCAGCAGATAATCAAGAAATGTGACTTCGCGCTCTGTAAAAAATCTTGCCTTTTATCCAGTCTGTCAAGAGTCAATATTCGTGTACTGAGATCCCAGGAGTTCTGCTTGTTCTGAGTTCGCGATAACGCTTTTTTGTTTAACCTATCTCTTCCTAATTAATTAATTTTTTACCCCACTTTTGCGCTCTTATGACCCCAGTGTTCAAATGTTGCCTGACTACCTCGGGTTAATTTTTCGAAGATTATGGTGAACGATGCGTGCCTTCGGTGTGCCATGTGAAAATTATGTATTTTTTTCTATAATTTTCTCTCCACGTGTGATGATGAAAGGAACTATATTCGTGGAGAAGAAGGAAGACCCCACCCTAAGTAGTGTTCTGGTGACATACAGACTTTGGGCTTATGTATAGCGAAAATAATGTGAATATTAAAATTTAGATTTTGGAACAAATAATAAAAATTGGCGAATAAGCGACTGGGCAGTACGTGTAGATTTCACATACCTCCGGTCTATGTACTATACAGGGACGCTCCTATATTTGTTGACCGAATCACGGCTTTCCTCTTTACGGAGATCGGTGCACCGCCGGCTGCGAGGCACATACGAATTTGCCAATGAATCAATATACCTACTGGCCGAAAACGTTCGGAATAAAGTAGTTACAATTCGCAGATCACAGCGGGTGTTGTCCCAAGCACCAGGGGAAGAGGTTCTGATTTACCCTTTCAAGCTGTTCTGCAGGAATATTTGCAGTTAGCCTAGGATGTTTTCGTTTAGTTCTTCTGTTTGGGGGTGACTGTTGTAAACTTTGCCCTTCAAACAGCCCAGAAATAAAGTGATGATTAATTAATACTAAATTAGATGTTGGTACAACTGCAATCAGTGTGCCCGATAAAGAGCGATACAAGTAAAAGTACAGTTTATTTTTAACACAAATGATAATAAGGATGTTTCTGTAAATTACAGCATGAGTATAAATGAATACCGGTAATGGGAGAGGGGGGTTCATATTAGTAAATGCTATACCGCAATTTTCTCTGTACATTCTGACACAATTCCGTCCAGAAAATCATGACGTTACTTACATTTGTGGTCTAGAACTGCCACTGCAATGATTAGAGCGAACGTCGTTACTGCCAGAACTGTCGACAGCAGTATCAGCTTCCTCTCCAAAGGCGTCCTATGGAGGCAAAATCTGGGCATGACTCTGAAACCAAATGCGCAATTAGCATCCCTCTACTTAACCACCGTTCACAGAACAATGGCTTGCAATCAAGCTTACTAGTCAGTCCCTTGCGTCACTTCAAATGGGAGCTATTCTTACCCATTTTTACTACGCATGTCCATATCATGTGTGTGTATACTCAGGAACATACTTATGGAGCTGAGCCCTTCTTAAGGAGAAGCCAAATTTGCAGCTACTCAAGAATTTTCCAGCATTTTATGGAACCCGAAGGTTCATTAGCGTGCTCACAAGAGCCCTCCACTGGTACCTATCTTAAGCCAGATCAATCCAATCCATACCATCCCATTCTATATCTCTAAGATACATTTTTATATTCTCCACCCACCTACCCCTTTGTCTTCCCAGTGGACTCTCTCTTTCTGGCTTCCCCACCAATATCCTATATGCATTCCTCTTCTCCTCCATTCGTGTTACATGTCCTTGACTTGATCATTCTAATTATACTTGGAGAAGAGTACACGTTATGAAGCTCCTCATTATGCAGTGTTCTTCAACCTCCTGTCACTTCGTCAATCTTCGGTCCAAATATTTTCCACAACACGCTGCTCCCAAACACCCTCAGCCCATGTTCCTCTCCTCAGGGACATACATATATACAAATATATCAAAATAGAAATATCTTTTGTACTGAAAAAGTGAAATCCGTGAGAGATTTTACAGTGTACAAATATGCAGCAACTATAACAGGAGTTTTCAGAGGAAAAAGGGCGCAAGAGTAACGGTATAGTTTGTTTAAATTCATTTTTGGAAGCCATTAGCTGGGAGCATAGTAAAAGAGAAACTCACAGAAAATAGTATGAGGTAGAAGGAGAGAAATGTAATTTTACAACGAAATTTTCACTTGCCCTTCATAGCATCTCGGCCACATATTAGCCCTCAACGAACTGCCTTGAGAGTCCATTTGTGAGAAGTTGATATTGGCTTATCTGGCTCGTAAATTTACTGCCTTGAATAGAACCTGAATTTGAGTGCAAAGTGGTATTCATGTGATTCTGTCTTTGAATCTCATGTCGAGTCAGCTGAATGCGGTTCAGTCTCTTACATCCTACTTCAACTGCATGTTAATAGGACCCTTACATCTACGCCTATGTCTCCCAGATGATCCAGTTCCGCCACGTTTACCGACTATAATTTTTGTATGAATTTCTCGTCTCCTTATGGATGCTACATCCCCCCATTAAATTCTCCTCAGCACTTTATTGTCGAATGTATTCCCTATCAATATTCTTCACTTAAGATGAGAAACCAAGTTTCAGACTCGTACAAAGCAACAGGTAAAATACAAATTTTGTGTACTTTTTAATACGTTTATTTTTGGATAGGAGACAGAGTAAATAAATGTGTTTGAGTGGTTTATCTTATCAGCTTCCTGTCTTTATTAAGCTAGCATGTTACTGAATATCAGGCATAGCTTTTACGTCGTAATGACTCCTCGCCACAACATAAGCATCGGATTAGGAAGAAAATATTGCTCAAATGTAAAATGTAAAATGGTAATTCAAAACGCGGCTATGTTTTAACAGTATTTTCATTTTCGTTGCGACATCTTCCTTACTGTTTCGTATTCAACTATGAAATTTAGAGCACCCAGACCCTGTAATACAGTATTTCTTGTATAAAGACAAACAGCACCGTCTCTACAGCACACAAGAAATGCACACATATTTTTGCTAGAAGAATCAAGGGGAATCGCCACGTGGGAAATATTCACCTCGTTTTTGAGAAAGCTACTAAATGGATTTTTCAGAACGTAAATCTGTGTTTGTGTATTGGAGCAAAAAATGTGAAACTATTCTAAAAGTAAGTAAAGATATGTCTGTAATAGGCCGTGGAGGCCCATAGGATTGTGATATGTTGAGGCTCCCACATTATCTAGACAATCGGCTCATAGATGGCGGCAAGGTTGTCAGCCCTACGCGTCGGCCGCACTTTACCCCCGAGAATATTCCTGATACTCATTTCTGTTAGAAGCTGAGTCGACCCCAGGGCCATAGTGCGGCTGGAAGGATTAGGTCGATTGAAGAAAACCCAGTGACCTTATCGGGACTTGAACCCACGACCTTGCGGCTTGTAGCATAGTGCCTTAACCAACTACGCTACCGTGGGCCCCCGAAACTATTCTATTTCTTCGTAATTCACCGTCCGCCTGCTTTATTCACTACGGTTCAAATGATTATATTTTAAAAGTGGCTGTAGAATTAAGTGTAGTGGTGAACCAAACTGAAGTGTACACCGTCGATTAGTTGGAAATCCCCGCATCTGTTTAATCTTATCAGTAATGCTTGATAAGTGACACATGGGTGGAGCGAAGAAAATAATATATCGGACTACAGCGTAGCATAGGCTGCCCATAAATACATACTGCACCCTTAGGCGGCCCATACACGTACGAGTCTGGCTGGCGAGTCCGGCTCGGCGAGGAGCCGGGCTCGGATTAATTTCACCACACACGTATGAGCGTGGCGACCCACAAACGGACGAGTTTGGCTCATTGGAACCCGAGACGAGTCGGACTCGCGAGCCAGACACGTACGTGTGTGGGCCCCCATACAGTCTGAATTCTCACCGCTTCTTCATACCCCACATACTCGTATCTTCCTCATTTCACGAATTGTGTGAAATTATCTACGTGATTTTTCTGCGGTGTCTTTATTCAAGATTCGATGGTCAGGATTATCAGCATATTTCTTGTTCTGCCTTTTCTACTTCAGTGCTAGAGATTATTGTATATTAACATTTTGCCAAGAATCGTATGTGTATATATGTCGACCCGAAGAAATGATGATAGTCATTCTTAGACGCTTTATTTTAATTGTTTCTTTTGTAAATATGTTTATATTTTATGTTGGTTGAGGCTTTGTGTTGCAGGCAGACAACAAGTAGAAAGTAAAAGGAATGCAGAGAAATTAAAAAAAAAAGAGAACAAATGTAAATAATCATGAACACAGAAACAGGCCCTACGATAAGATCTTGAAAGATCCTAGAAACGGGGAAGAAGTACCTAACATCTGAACACAACTCCTTCTAGTTTCTGACATTAAAAAGAATTAACATGTACTTGTGTAATAGGCCAGCTTTACGTTAAACTGAAGGGCGTGCCCTGTAGAACAGTTTGTGAGGGGGTGTACTTTGGATAGGCTGCAGGTAACGATTAGCACATATCAGTAATGTATGCTGTGTAAACAAGAGTTGTATTCCTAGAAAGTGCAGTCAGAGGTGTAGCCTGTGATAACCCTGAAGTCTCCGGCTGACAGTTTGTACTGTGAGGTCGCGTAGTTTTGCTCCACATTTGCCTTTGTTTTGTTATCCACGGAACACCTGAAAATTTCACCGCAGTTGGAATGCAGGAACAGTTTCTGAAATGGTTCACATTTACCCCGTACCGACTGATACGACTGAACTCCCGAGTAGATTTTGCTGCAGTTATATTCGGACTAAAACTGGGTGGGAGGGGGGGGGCGATGTCTATTAAGCAGCATGACACTTGCCATAATTTGGATGCTTCTGAATACACCCTGCAGAGTTCTTCGACGGTAACAAAGCGGTAACCATACGCTACGCGTGACAGCATACTTACTTTTCCTCAGAATCGCCTAGTAGCGGCGAGTACCTGTGGCCACCTTCATCCATTGTGTTGGTGCTGCTTATCACTGAGAACAGAAGAAAAAAGTACGTAAGAATTTGCTCTTGAAAAGCGAGTTTTCCGTGAATAACAATTCAATAAGCAGATATTTTTAAATGTTTCGAAACCTGATGATGACCCAGTAATCAGGGTCGAAATATGTAGTGGAAAATAAAATGTATTGGATGTTGAATAGTTCTGCTGGTGGTAACAAAAGTATTTCCATTTCTAATAAACATAACAGACTGCGGGAAACAAATATTCTAAAATATATATTAACAAGTGTCGCTCATCACAAGTACTCTGCTTAATTTCAGTCAGTGTGCTAGGTTAATAGTACACCATATTAATGTGCTCATGATTTGAATTCCACTCCGTGTTGGGTTATCTGTTTTATATTAATAAATTTATCTGTTACACAAAATTATTGTAACATCGAAGAGCAGGTCAAGTGTGCCCAGCGATAAATGACACCTAAGTTGAATTGAATGATACTCGAATACTGATGATAATTGAAGGATTTACACCTCGCTGCCATTATGTTTTACAAAAAACTACGAATATTTTGGCACAAAATAATAATATACTTCAATTAACAAATGTCATCTACAGACACAGTATTATCATAATTGCCATATTTAGATCTCTGCTTGTTTGCCACAAGTTTATAAGCATGTACCGACATGAAGCACGCAACCAACAAAGAGTACATACTTGACGAGAATTTATATTTTATTTAATGAATTGGTAAACCATACAGTAGGATCTATGCATATAAGAACATATAGCATCCAAATCAGTATAAGCCTAGAAAGATATGTTAGAATTATCAGGGCACACATAGCATTTTGCTATAAAATAACGACATTTAAAACGAAATGAAGATCCTGGTGTAGCAAGTGGAAAGCAAAAATTAGAACTACCAAAAGCGCGGGAAAGAAATTTCTGCCGAATTGTCCACATGTAACAATTGTAAGGCCATAATGAAATTCAGTAGAATTTCGGGCGTGACTGCATCTCTCAAGTTTCTCTCTTGTGAATGCGGGGTTTATTGATGGAAACATTTTGGATTATGGGGCTGAAAGTACGATCGAACATAGAAGTTGCCTATGTGAACAAACGTTGCTTTTAAAATTACTGGCTCTATGAAGAATGCGCATTTCCGCTTGTATTTAATGCAATTACATTTAAAGAATATTTTACGTAGAGTTGGGAAGTAATTAAAACAATCAGAAAATAAGAAATGAATGGCACAAACGCATCCACATATTTAAATCGCATTCCGGAAGTAACTGCTTCAGTCCCAACTGGGAACCAATTTCAGGGCTGTCCATAGAGTATCCGGGAGAATGCAGTACGGTAACTGTCGTTTTGTCTCATTCAATCCAGAAATAATTAATTACGGTTGATTATAGATAACCGATTTATAAGTAATGGTAATATATCTAAATGTTACAGGGGGGCTTTAACGGTCTAATTAGTTGCACCTATGCAGGATTTGAGGTCCCCACTGCGGTGGTTGAGAACAGTTCTATCTTCTGCGATATAAAGGCGCGTAGCGCGCTAAAAGTCAACTGACTTTTCAGAGTAACATATCGCCTCCATCTTCAGGTTAAAATAATAAGCAGAGCATGATACCAGCCTCAAAGCAGGTAACAAGAAGAGCCCCGTCGGTTGACTGTCAACAGACTACACGGCGTTATATCCCAGAAGGTAGAACTCTTAGTTGCATGTAGAACTTGAATTTGAGAGACGATTAAAAACTGTGTGTTATTCATGTTGGTATTTTGGACACAAAATGACTTTCATACTAATTTTTCTTCGAAAAATCGTGTCATACACATTATCCCCGACACTAAATGAGAGGGGTTCAAAATCGAGCTCCTACCATATTTGGCTTTCAATATTCAACTTATCTCTACTGAAAAAAAAATTAATGTCACATAATTTACTTTGTTCGCTTTTCCGTCTTTGACTTTGCTGCTAAGCGTCCACACACGGTTGCAGAGTACATCGACCGATCTAGGTCCACTGCTGTTTTATTGTATATAGCGATTGTCTGACTCCATGGCTTTAAACAATGAAAATACACGTCATGTTACGTCATTTCGAATTTAGGAGGTCGTTTCAGGAAAAAGAAAAATAATTGTATAACATTATTACAAATTATGTATGACATTATTTAGAAATGGGAGACTGTGTTCTCTTGAAGTCGGAAACAGGTCAATGGTCTATAACCTTGAAGAATAATAATAAGATTATATAGGATTAGAGGTTCTCGCGGCCGTGGTTATGAACAATACTATCTTCTGAGACACAACGCAGTGTAGTCCGTTGAAAGTCAATCAAGGTTTCGAAGGAACATACTGCCTCCAACTTCAGGGTAGAAGAACCCGATCAAGACATCAAAGTGAAAGCAGGTGGCAAGCAGAGCAGAGCAGATTGCTTGCCATCTGCGCTCACGCTCAATTTTTCGCTGGGTCCTTAAGTTGGTGGCAGTATGTTCCTCCGAAACGTCTGTTGACTTTCAACGGACTACGCGGCTTTATGTTGAAGAAGATACCATTGTTCAAGAATAAGATTATTTAGAATCTGAAATGATGGAACGTAAGAATAATTCAGTGTTTGCTCCTAGAGTGCACGAAATATCATACGCAAAAACCTCGAAACAAAAAGAGATGTTGCACAGTAGAAGAGTACAGAAATTTCATTGTTTCACTACAGTTTTATTTTCTGAAAACACGGAAGAAAATGGCCACTATCGATATTTATGAGGCAGAGGGAATATTGACGGAGTAGTTACCGCCTGTCTCAGAAACAACAGCAAGAATGTGCTTAATCCATAAATGCCAAGTCATACAGAAACATAACACTCAGTTAACAGACTGAAAATACGTATGAAATGTGTCTTATTTAGACCCTAACCGTCTTGACTGGAGAGAACACCGCCATGTACTCACTCTGGTACCACGAAAGAACAGGCAGTACATTCTTCCGAAATAACTATAAATATCTGCCGTGTTGCAAGCCATCACTTCCCAAATGACACGCTTTCGTACTTCTAACACTTCTGTTGAACGAAAGTTGCACTTTCCTCTACAAAGCTTAATATTAGAACGATACAATAGGATCACAGCTTGGAACAGATATAAACGTTATGCAAAATCTTAATTGGAAAATATGAAGGAGAGTTATTTGAAGATTAAAATTGATTTTAAGAAATGGAATATGTGAGAAATGGGACGCAGGATAGAGCCCAGGTCCGGTTACTCTGAATAGAGTATGAACTTTTTGGTTCCGTGGAAGGTAGTTAATTCCTTAATCAGCTAAGCGCCAGTCAGATTGTCAGTGGGCGTTACTTCATTGAGTTATAGAGTGATTTTCCACAAATTGTTGAGCTGCTTAGACGCAAGAGTTCGATGCCTCTCCCGTCTACTCTCCAGCTGAAAATCTGTCAGCGGAACCTACGAACTTCAAACTTTAAACCTTGACCTCTTGTGGTGGGATTCGAAGTGTTTTTGAAGGGAGTGTACAAGCCTTTCACCCGGCGTTTCTGTCATTCTTTCACCCAGTAAGGATGAAATCGGTGCTGTAGTCTAACATTCCCCTCGAAGTAAGAACAACAGAGAATAATTCCAGCATCTGCTTTAAGTTTCGTTTATAACTAGACAGATTATATACTTAGTTAGAAGCCGCAGTCTCCGTGGAAGACAAAGACGGGATGAGCGTCAAAATCCTCAGCTTGAGAGGTTACGATTCGTGAGAACCTCTGAGAGGATAGCGTTCTACAACATAGAGAAACCTATCGTGCGGAAGAGGAATAAAGGTGACTTGTCATTCAGTCAGATGAACCTCGACACTGATAACGGCACGCCATCTGTTTGTCTGGACTTTGTTATCAGCACTGTGCTAGTAGATAAACATTAAGTCCACAAAGGTGGCGAAAAGTGGTGTTATCAGGGTTGGAACCTGAGTCCTGTTATAGTCCAGAGCTTCAGAATGACAGTGGGGATAATGGAAGAATAGCTTGCTGCTGGCGTTCCTACCCCCCAGATCTGGCGGAAGAAAGAAGCGTTGTTGTCTTATCGTATTTTCAGCTCTAAACTTTAAAAGAGTGCAGATGCAGCCAGTAACATGACGACAGTGGCCGTGTAATGCTTACAAATAAAACATACGATCAGGCAAGTGGTCAGTGCGCTTTCGAGACGATTAAAGCTCACAGTTGAGTAGCTATCAGATTTTATGCAAAGGTTTGTAGGCCTATCATGGGATTTGGCTTAATATCGAGTTGCCAGATTTTGTGTTGGCAAATAAAGAGGCGTTACGTAAAATAAAAAGTCGTTATTTGTTACGTTATATCGCTCAGGGCTAAAGAGGTTTTTCTAAAGATATACAAGTATTTTAAACGAGAATTATATTTTTTCCTTAATCTGCCATATGCGTGCGCCTGTGTGTGTGAAATGATCTTCATGTGACTTAATGAAGTTTATATTATAGCATGTAGACCCGTTGCTAGAAAATGACCCGTACACACGCAGCAGGAGGAAACGTCACGTCCGCACTCACATCACCCAAGAATAGAAGAGGTGTTCCCATTTATTTTTCTGTTCAGGAATTAATTGACGTGCGAACTCTCAGGAGTCATGAAAACCGACGAATTACTTGAGCAGGCCTTCGACAGTCAGTTCAATACAAAGTCTGTGGGACCGCGTAGATCCTAATTTTGGTGGAGATGATTTTCGAAGCTTCCCTCTTTTATACTTACTATTCCAGCACCCCCTGGCCCATACAAACAGACCAAAATTGTTAGTCACAATGCTGAGTTCGTGGAAAAATATCCAGTGGATTGACTTTTCGACATCTCCCTCGAGCTAGTATACTTCGCTTTCCAGCGTACTTGTCTGTCTTGCCCTCTAGTTGTACAGCCATTCTGTTTTTATGAATATTCGTAGTGATAGATAACCTCTTTCAACGAGCGCTTCGGGTTCGTAGGCATAGCCTAGAAGCGTGCCCGGCAGGAATTATATTACAAACTCTACAGCCGCAGTGGACCTCTCACTCTTCTCCTCAAGGGGCCTCGAGTTCAATTAACTCCAAACACTGGAAGCTATGCTTCCATTTATATTGTTATTTGTACTTCCAGGATTGTCTCCGTGATGTACGTATTTTGTTTCATATTTCAGGGATCTGAATGTAGCGTGAGGAGAAGGGGGTACCGAAAAAAAAAATGAACCCCAAATTCAGTTCATGCAGGGGGGGGGTGGAGGATTTGGCTGATCGTCTCTGCCTAGAAGGAAGAGTAGGCAGAGAGTGAGGCATCTTGAACGCCGTCAACCCCTCCATACATTGACCTTCATTCTGTGTCCTGATATAGCGAAGTTTATCAGAACAGCATTGTATGGTAGAGAATGGCTTGACGTCTGGAGAGGAACACAGGGACCTGCTGTCGGTGAGTGGTGCAACAGCTGGGGGTGTGGGGTGTGGAGGGTTTCAGGATCCGTTACAACTCTTTCCATTGTGTCAGTCCTCGTTATGATCTTATGAGGTGCAGGTAGGTAAGTATCCATATATACATGGCACGCAGTGTTTCCATCAGACACACTGTGTGGGCTGATCTTAGATACAAGAAATATTCACAATGCCGTCGCTTTGACTGCCGCTGGGAACAATCTGTGCCCTTTCATCTGCTCTCAGTTAAATTTAAACTTTTTACACATTTACGATAGTCACACTCATATTCTCGAAAATCTCAAATGAATGCCACTGAAACTTCAGTATTCCAGCAGTGTATAAGCGTAGTGTGCGCTTCATGAAAAGCAGATCTGTAAATCTCTGAGCCGGGATGGCATAGTCGGTATAGCGACTGGATACGGGCTGGACGACCGAGGGGTCGGAGTTCGAGTCACGATGGGGTCAATAATTTTCTCTTCTCCACGTCTGGTCTGTTTGCACCTGCTCACGCTGGTTCACTCGCGGATTTCTTCTTTTTATTTTCTTCTACCCTGAAGATGTAGGCGATACGTTCCTCCGAAACGTCGGTTAACACAATATATACACGACGCCACATCCCAGAAGACTGCTTTCTTCTTAGTCACCGCCATGAAAACCTCAAATCTTACATAATTTTCTTATGTTTGGGAAACCTTTATTGTTTGTTCAATTGTACAAGCGCGGGAAATATTAGTATAGCGCGTCTCGAAAACAGTAAGACTTACGGACATGCAGTATGTTGTGTATTTTTCTCTACATCCTTTATTTAAAATATTTTTCGCCCCGATAAACATTGATGTAGTTACCCTCGAGGTTCGAGCAGCAAGGCGGGTACGTGTCCTTGAAAAGAGTCTATTACCGATTACCGATTTTAAGGAAAATTTACGAATAAAATTTGATGCCTATAACTTTCCGGTGTCAAGTGTCAAGTGTTTTACTATGCGTATAAACGGACAGACTGACGGGGACAGCGATATCAACAGGAATTCCGCAAGGAAAGGCGAGCCTTTAAGTACCATAAACTCGTTGTGTAATATGTGATTTTCCACAGGAAGGACATCGTAGTCCAAACACACTTTAGTAAGTTTTAAGTAGAATAAATTGGATTAGAGGATTAAAGAAATATATTTAAACATATATAGTCAGTAAAGAATGCAGTCTTTTTGGATGTGGCGTCGTGTGGATCTTGTGTGAACCCACGTTTCGGAGGAACGTATCGCCTCCTTCTTCAGGGTTAAAAAACTCATGAGCAAGTAACCAGCCTCAGGTGGCTGCAGTTTAATGATATTTGTTTCACATTTTAACAGTACCCGATTCATCCTCTTTGTAATTCCAAATGGATTATCCTTCTCAACAGAAATGGTAGATAGTGGCTTCTTTTATTCGTACCCTCTGCAGATTCAATATCTGTTAAGTCTATATTTGATCCTTAATAAATTCGATCCACCTGATTTCCTCATTGATCTGCTTGGTTCGATCTCCTGTGAGAATCGAGTTCTCTCTGGCATTGGGTGGTTTCGCACAATCATTTCAGTACATTTCGGTTCACAATATACAAAAAGAGGACTCTTTTTCTGCACCAAGCACCCCGTCCTCCGGCTACAGTACACTCATCATATCCTTCGCATTCAGCAGAAGTCAGAAGCACTGCTTGGCCTCACTGGCGGGAGAGAACGACGGTCCTCGCTTTAATTCGGGAGAGTAATATCGGATTCAAGCCGGTCACGGTAGCCGAGCGGTCTAAAGCATGTACTGTCTTCGCTCGCTTGGAAACCGGGATCGTGGGTTCGAATCCCACTCAGGGCATGGATGTTTAGTTTGTGTGTGTGCGTTTTTCTGTGTTTGTGTACAGGTAGAGGCCTTGCGACGAGCTGATCACCCGCCCAAGGAGTCCTACCGAATGTGTAAGATCTGGAAAAACCTAAGTGAACGGAGAAGTTCATGGAGGTAGGCCTAGGCCCACTGGGGCTGTAGTGCAAAGGAAGAAAAATATTGGATTCGATGAACAAAAAGCAAGTAATCTGCACATTATAGTTTCTCTTCAGTACTGTCCAAACGAATCGTGAATAGCTACCGTGAAGCGAGGTAAGGCCTACGTGTTGCAGGACCTTGCTACAGGTCCCTTGTTACTATGTTCATTTTGTTCTGTTGCTTCGTGTGACGAAACTGTACTTCTGAGATATACATTGGGGAGCCGAGTGCCCGTATGCGAGAGTTGTGTAAAGAAAAAGATTCCAGCAAAAATTTCAGGATGTGACAATTCAGTGCAGAAATTTCCTTAAACCATTAAAACTGGAATTTTTCTATATATATAATTATTTCGTACCTCACAGGAATCGCCTTGCGCCCGAGCTAAAATTATCAACCGATTAATGATGTTTATTGGGGGGGAGAATCGCTTTTTGTTGTGAGAACAGGTCCCTTGTTACTATGTTCATTTTGTTCTGTTGCTTCGTGTGACGAAACTGTACTTCTGAGATATACATTGGGGAGCCGAGTGCCCGTATGCGAGAGTTGTGTAAAGAAAAAGATTCCAGCAAAAATTTCAGGATGTGACAATTCAGTGCAGAAATTTCCTTAAACCATTAAAACTGGAATTTTTCTATATATATAATTATTTCGTACCTCACAGGAATCGCCTTGCGCCCGAGCTAAAATTATCAACCGATTAATGATGTTTATTGGGGGGGGGAGAATCGCTTTTTGTTGTGAGAACCATACAAAGCGCACAAGTACACTCTAGGCAGAATGCAGAGTTACAGTATTTAAGGTAGGTGGTAGATATTGAACCACTTGTCTTTAAAAGGCTAATACAACATTAAATAAATTTAGCTATACGAGCCCTTTCGTGAGCGAAAAGAAGAACATAATTAAAATGCCAAGTTCTCACAGAAGAGAAACTGAATGAACATTCAGGATAATGAACATTATCCTCAAAAATACCGGAGGCACTTTGTACACGAGACCGGGTTAACAAATTATCAACTAAAGTCGGGTTAATTTATTCCCGTGGAGCTGTGAAGGCATATTGATTCATAGGCAAAATTCGTATACACCTCGCAGCCGGCGAAACACCGGTCTCTTCGAAGCGCAGAGCCCCGCACCAGTTAACAAAACTATAAACCTCGCTGTAGAAACGAAAAAGAAAATTCGTTAGCGAAATTAAAGTCAGACAATTAATACAAAAAGCCAATCAAATCTATTCTCTAATTTTGGAAATGAATAAATCGGGCGGACGGCCAGAGATACGGTCTCTCTAATATGCGATATTTTCATGCAATTTGTATAAATACTCTCTCTTAATCGTAAACTGCAAACACAAAACAATTTGGGGTGTTTAAAATTTTAAATTTAGTTAAATATATCCAAAAATTCACCGCATTTCATCCAACCATTTCACATTACTTAATTACGAAAGGTTATAAGCATTTAATCACACTATATCATAAGTGCAGATAATCAGAACAAGGCTGTGCCTTGCAAATAATTCAAAGACATTGCGTCAAAGACAGAAGTTAAACCTGTATAACTGCAAGAAGCTACGGTATAAATGCAGAAAGGCTTGTTGGAAAGACCATAAACAATTCATTACCTGTTTCTACGTGCCGGTTTTCAGGACCCGAACTCAGATTAGCACTATATACATCTACCACAGCCTGCGTCAAATCAAGAACTGTACGTTCGAGGCCAGTTATCTGTGACACTGGCTTCAGCAACTGCCTCGCGATGCTGATAACGAAACCAAACTTCCAGGATACACGCCATGTACAAAAGACGAAACATCCGTTAGATTTTGGGCGATCTAAAATTTATCTTCCGAAAAGCATTTTAGAAGTGCTAGCTGGAAAACGTACGCTTTCTCATTTACTTACTTACTTACTTACTTACTCATGGAGCTGAGCCCTTCTGGAGGAGCCGCCAATTCTGCAGCTACTCAGGAATTTCCCAGCATTTTATGGAACCCGAAGGTTCATTACCGTGTTCACAAGAGCCCTCCACTGGTCCCTATCCTGAGCCAGATCTATCCAATCCGTACCATCCCAGCCTATCTCTCTAAGATCCATTCTAATATTGTCCACCCACCTACGCCTTGGTCTTCCCTGTGGTCTCTTTCATTCTGGCTTTCCCACCAATATCCTATACGCATTCCTCGTCTCCCCTATTCGTGCTACGTGCCCTGTCCACCTCATCCTACTTGACTTGATGATTCTAATTACACTTGGAGAAGAGTACAAGTTATGAAGCTCCTCATTATGCGGTTTTCTCCAACCTCCTGTCACTTCATCTCTCTTCAGTCCAAATACGAATAACGCTATCTCATTATTCGTATATATTAACAGCGCAATAAATCAGTACCTTCAATGGCGACGGCGAATGGTTAGTTTACGTGGTAAATGGTGGAAATGGTTGTGGTTTTGTAGCTTGTTTTATGACTGTCAGTAGCTCAGGCTGTAATGCGTCGAATGGTTGGATGACAGCTGAGTAGTGAATTGGAGGGGATGTGGAAGGAAACTGTTGTGGCCTAACCGAGATGCCCTCCTGATATTTTCCTGAAAGTTATGATGAAAACTAAGGATAACCTCGATCAGGATGCTAGGTGTTCCTTCGAGAATCGAAGCAAGTACCTCCCGATACATCAACCTGCTAGGTGGAAATGTTCTCACTGTGATTAATATTAAAGACAGGATCATCCCATTCGTCAGTCGCAGGCATGGATTGGTTATTCAGGCACGACAGGAAACTAGTATAGATTTTTATTAGTTTCTTGGGGTGGGGAAGACTAAGTCCACTTGGTACGTCGGTCGCTAATTGGCCTGTTTTACCAGTCCCTAATGGTAGATGATAGAGATTTGTGTGGAGTAGTCCACTGAATGAGAATTTGCAGGGTAAACCGAAATACCCGGAGAAAATCTGCGCCAGTGCCACTTTGTCCACCACAAATCTCATATGACCTCACCTGATATCGAACCCGGGCTACCGCGGTGGGAAGCCGGCGACTAACTACCTGAGTTATGGCGCGGTCTGACAGGAAACTAATCTCTGTGTGTGCTTGACTGATGACATGTATGTGACACATCGAATTTTATGTGTTCCTATAGAATCTATTCTATAGGTTATTCTATAGGTAACGATCTAGTTTCGAATTCTGGAGCTGCTAGGCTCGAATCTGGGTCTGGACTTCGATTATGATCAGGGTCTTCGTGGTTTTGCCCAGTCATTGGAATCAAATGCCAGGAAAACGCCTCGATTAGGTCAGGAGAGTTTCCTTCGGAGCCATTCCCAGTTAATCATTCATATATCAACCTACGTCATAAGCTGTATAATGGCGATCCTGGAAGCGTCGTTAAGCGACACACACACAAAATGCGCACACTTAAACATTCCTTGAACACAGTACGCGGATATCGTGTCTGTCTGTCTGACAGTCCAACCGAAGGTCGCTGTCGAGTCTTCAGCAATTCTGCTCCGCATTAAGGATGTCCTGGGTTCATATCTAAGCCCAGAGATTGGCTATCCTTATTGCAGGTGTTCAAGACTTTATTGAGTCCCTCTAGGTCAATTTCAGGACAGTGCTTCAAAGTAGGAGGATGAGATTAGCAGCGCATGTAGCACGAATATGGTAGAAGAGGAATGCATATAGGATTTTGGTGGGAAATGCAAAAGGAAAGAACCACTAGGACGACAAAGACGTAGATGGATGGATAATATTAAAATGAATCTTCGAGATATAGGATGGGGTGTTATGGACTGGGTTCGGCTGAGTCAGGATAGCGACTAGTGGAGGGCTGTTGTGAACACGGTAATGAAACGTCAGATTCCATAACACTTTTGGAAATTCTTGAGCAGCTGCACAACTGGCGGCATCTCAAGAAGGGGTCAGCTGCATGAAGTTAGTTTTTAGAATACCGGACGATTGACAAAGTGAAATAACCCAGTAATTTTGAGTGCCAGTCATATCTGTTTGTTACTGGTGCAAGAACTCTTGTACCTAAGAGAGACAAATATGACGAGCCTGAACACTTGGTAAAGAAGTCAAAATTCGGAATCTCATGTTCTCACTGTGTCTCTATGAAGAGTACGAACTTCTGAGATGTGACGTCGTAATGTCTGAAAGAATTTTACATTGCAGAATTTTATGCTCCTTAAATTGGTAGAAGAAATATTAGTAACACAAAAGGATTAATATAAGTTAACCGTACCGAGGATAAGACATAGGCAAAAGTTGTCCCTATGCTCCACGAATTAAGCATTACGCCATGAAGCCGTATGGGGGAGTCGATATACTTGTATAGATTCATATTTTCATGACCTCAGCACTAGCTGGAGGTGAGTAATCAGCTTCAGGCCCCAGCCGCTTTACCCCCGGGGAAAGAGCCCCCGGTACCCATCGGATAGGAGGTTGGGTGGATCGCACAGCCGGTCTGGACAATTTAGAAAAGAGAAAATTCTCGACCTTAGCGGGACACCAACCCCCCCAGTTGTCCAGCCCATAGCCAGTCGCTCTACCGACTACGCCACATCGACTCTTAACATATAGGCAGATTGTTTTAATGTACTACATGAGAGAAAAACAGACAGACATAAAGAAAGACAGAATATTGAACATTTACACTGCACAGTAAATTGTATTTCACTCCTGTAGCACTAACTTGTAAATTTATAGAATTATTTCTGAAACTGCGAATGCTTAGATGTTCGATAATACTCTATAAATAAGTGATCTGCCAATTATTATCTCTATTCCAGTAGGAGAACCAGATTAAAATCTGTAGTCGTAGTGTTTGAGCTGTCCAGTTACTCGTTATTTTAGTCTGGTTTAGCTTTATAGTGTGTAAGGCAAGCATATTGGTGCTGAATATTGGTAGTGCTTGGTTTATTGAGCGCTGGGAATGCGGGTTGTCTACATGGCAGTTAAGCACCTCAACCAAGGGAACCATTGGTTTCAGAATTGTAGAAGTGTACAGTGATGGTCATTTACGACAGATCAGAGGGTAGGAAGAATTATTCTGATTTATAACGAAAAAGAAAGATGGCGACTTCTCAGAGTAAATATCGTGCCCCTAAATACCTTCCCATTTCGGTACATTTTAGCTGTCATCAACATGGCAACATATATACACACGCACATATATCAACATGACAGCCGTTATGAATTTTGAGGATGAGGTAATATAACCGTTATTCAGCACTCCACTTTGGAGTTGTATATATTACATTGAGACAGATCTATATGCAATTTCAGCAATTCTGTGCTATGCTATATTCCAGAAAATGGAAAATTGAAACATGGCGGCTACGCGAAATGTCATGTTGCTAAAGTGGCAAATGGCTAATCATTCTCTCTAAACATTTGTACGGTGACGTGATGTTATAGAATTTACTCGTATGAAGAGTGATTTCAGGTCTTGAACTGTAATATTCACTGTACAATCTACGAGTACTACAATGTTCAACGTTTTCGTATTTCATACCAAATTTGAGAACAATATCGGTACGTGTGACACTTCTTATTTCGTCTAACATGAAACACAGCCTAATCTGAGTGCTTAATCAGTGTGCCATATTCTTTTTGGTAACTCTGCAACAATAGAAAAGACGGTGTTCTCTGTGGAGGCCGCCCCCGAGGCTGTATAACGAGGATCTCGTGCAGCTAGAATTAGAATTGAGTTTAGTTTCGGAGTTGGCAGTTCCAGCAGAGAATCGAGTCTTGGGAGTTAGCAGTTGGCAGAAATAATTGAGAAGAAATGTCAGAAAGGCTTTAGGCTATGCAAAGAAGACTTTATGTACGCTGCAGGGACAGTGAGACTGTTATAAATCCGATGTCAGGATACGACTAGTGAAGACACAGAACCACAGTGTGTGTGTAAAGGTGAACTGTAAAGTATGTGGATCAGCGATGGAGATGTATTATTTGTAGTTACGAGTTGAGTGTATAAGGTGTCAATAAATCAAATCGTCCAGGCCAGACTCTTCTAATAATCATAACCCCATACACGTGGCAATATTTATTTGTATCGAATTCTACAACATAAATTTGCACATTACCGAAAATGTAGGGCTTAATTCGACGAATGTTTGAGTAGATATCCAGAAGCTTTCACAGATATTTTAATAGTTAGAAAATGTTACCACAATTTTAGCCTCTCCAAGGACATTTGTTTCCGTATACATACACATTCGACGCACTGCCTGTTCTCCTTTAATTATTTACTTTCAGACGATAAATTCGGAGCAAAGAACAAACGTTTGCAAATGCCAAATATGCCTTATAAAAATTGTTGGCATTGTATATCCCTGATGCATATGGGAGTAAATTGATAACAAGTGTAAACATAGTATTATCAGAGGCATTAACCATCACGTGAAAGCCTAAGGGAAAGCTTCTTGCATCCTTTTTTATCTGTTTTTATAAGGAGTGGAAAGAGGACGCTTTGCTTTTACATATCCATGATCCAACTTTATGACTTCATGATTAGCACATACTGTTTATCTTGTCAAAATATGGAAAACACGGTTGTTATATGATGAGGTACTGCGACATGACTGACGTTAATTTAATGGCATTTTCTGTGAAAGGAGAAGTACTCTTACAGACAAGTGCTCTGTCAATTGCAGAGTCATCAAACTAATTTTCCAAAACCTCCAAATGTTGTTTATGGGTGTTCACATATAGCATCTCAGTTCATT